GCCATGGGAGGGATCCCTGCACGGCCCAGGAGCTGCTTTGGGAGCAGCCGATCGCCGAAAAGCTGCACGACCAGGCCAACTCTTTGGCGCCGGTCTCGAGCATTCTGTCAGTTCAGCCTGTTGGACTTGGCTCCACTCACTCCCGACTCTTTGGACTTGAAGCTTTTTGGGAAGACCGGTTTGGTGGTAAATACAAGGTCCGGACTCACTCATTCCCAACTTTCTGGACTTCAAACTTTGTGGGAAGACCGTTTTGGTGGTAACAAAGTTCGGACTTTTCTTGGCCGCATCTCGGGAAGCGAGTCCGGCAACATGCTTGTCGCAGGTCGTGGCCCACTTCGACGTGCGCCGCCGCACCACGCTGCTGAACGAGCGGTTGAGCTACTCGCTGGACTACTTGCACACGCTGGGAGAGCACGTGAGGCCGTCATGTGAAAGGTGGCTCAAAATTGAACGATCGGAGGGGCAAACCGCAGGTTTTGGTTCATGTTTCCACTTACCAGGGCAACCCATTTTGGTACGGTTTTTTTGGTGTCTGTGCAACCATAGGGCGTCATGAAGAGGACAGCATGCATTGTGACCAGAGGCAAAGAATTAGCTTATGTATTTTCCATTTCGCTTTGGCAGGCACCTGTACTCAGTGCGGCTCGAGAGGACTGGGGATCCCAGCAGAAACTCTGTGACATTCCGGAGAAGCAGGCATCAAGTATCAATACTGGCTTAAATTTGCGTCGATTTGCACAAGTGGCGAGGTCTACTGACGACATGCTTCCCAGCTCCACCAATTTGCCCGAGTGAAACCAAGAAGACGGCTCAAGGCAAAGGGCAGGGACCAGAGGTGTCCTTTTTTACGTCAGTTTGGTTAGAATTAGATGCCAATGGTTTAGATTGGTTTTTATTTCATTTTGCAGGGCCATGTATTTTACGACAAAGACAACTATGGCAGGGACGGTTTCCGCGCTTGGAAAACTAGGATGATCATCATTCTGATCACTTTGGAGCTGGGCGCGGCAGCCTCAGGCGAATAAATGAAGGTGAAGCTACTGCAATGGTGCGGTGAGTAGGGAATGAGAAATGGAATGAACCCAGGCTTTGGTCCCCGCAAAAAGGAAACCAGCTGGAGGGTTTATTTCGGGGTCATTCCATTTCTCATTCCCTGCTGAGCACCAGCAAGGTTACTGCAATGCTTCTGGGATTCGAATCTGGGCCATTTTGGCCCCTGCGCATTTCAGCACGCATCAGGTTCCTACCGGGGCCTGTCCCCTTCATTTTGCTCTCACCAGTGCCACGGTCCGAGGTTGGCATCATGGGTTTGTCCGCTGGCCTTCCGCCACATGGCGCTGGGGGCTAAGGACGCTTCCTGTACATTGAGAGCTATGCGTGCGTTTTCAGTAGTTTTGGGACTGCAATGCACCGCATATCAAAGATGAATGCATTCTCGGTGTGCATGTGTGTGTGTGTGTACTGGAATGGAGAGGTCATGAGTCATTGGTGTAATATGAATCTACCGCCCTTCCCAAATGCCCTCCCTGACAGAGGGGGTTGGCAGATGTGATCATCCACCACCTTGAGCATGCCGTGCGAAATGAGCAGTCACTCATTCGGCGCCTAGTATCTTTCTGCTGACGAGCTGCTAAGGTCGTCGTGCAAGAGGCCGGAGTCATGCGATTGCCAAAGCTGGGAGAGTTGAACCTATCAAATGACAACATGTTCTCAGATCGATCAGACAATTTGCACGAATTGTTGGTTGAGAATCTGTTCACCTAGAACCCGCGAGAGAGAGAGAGAGAGAGGGCCCTTGTGGGCTTGCGGGCTTCGCATTATGTAAGAGTCAAGCTCAGTTTGAATGGATTCAAGATGCTGGTAATTTGATGCCTCGGGTCAGGTGCAGTGATGCTGAGCGACAGCAGCTAGGTGCCATGTTGCGGAGTTGGGCCAAAGTGCCCAAACCGCGTCTCGGTGGACGTTTGAATCGGCCAAAAAGAGAATCGAATGGCTTGCGTGCCATGCCTGTAGGACGGTGATGAAAGCGGTTGCCGTCCAACAACATGCAAGGGGTTGCTGACTGAGAAGTGCCTACGTTGCCTGCCTTCCTGGCTGCAATCAGCATAGCAAGAGCGGATGAGTCAGGCGACTTCATTCAGTACTTGCACGTTGCAGGCCTAAAGAAGGCCAACAATGCCTGAGGCTCCCGCCCAATTGCATCAACTCGGCACTCACGCACACTGCACGTGGCCTTTGCCATGTTGCTGCGTGCACGATTGAGAAGGACCCACTTCCGAGCATGGAAGCTATCACCGGGCTGCTAGAACAATGTTACAATGCCTGCCATCCAAGGATGGCCTCAAGGCTAGGTGCCCTCTCTTACCAACTTGTTTGGTTGGGAGGGTTTTCCTACTAAAATAGACTACAGAAAAAAAAAACGAAAAAAAAAAAAAAAAAAAAAAAAACCCAAAAAAAAAAAACAACAAAACTGGAGGACCTCGGGTACCCTTATTCTAAGCTCTCTACTGGAGGACCTAGTCCATGTTTGGAAAGAACTTATCCCGAACAGTTGGCTCGAAACCCCTGGTGAACATCAAAACAATGGTGGCAAATGGGGTTTAACTCATCCACCCCAAAATGGGATCGCCATAGGTTATGCAACCCACCTTTGTGCGAGTTGCGAGAAACTTCCACTACCCAGGGCTGCTCTGCCTGTCAGCCCTCGATCAGCCATGGAGCTCCTGCGGCTGATGCCTCCAGGCATGGGATATCAGGCGGTAGCTGTCCACTCGCTCTCAAAATAGCTCGGCCAGTCCAAGGCTCTCAACAGATACCGCTAGGTTGCACATACCTTGCATTTGCTTAAGCATATGCTTTGTTTTTTCCACTGTTGGTGTTAAAGGGAGTTTGTCACTACTGGAGATATTTTTGTTTTTCCCGGGAAGCTTAAGCAGATGGCAGATACTGCTAGCGGCTTGCACCCTGGTAAATGGAGAAGTAGACAAAGGCCTGTGCCCTGGCTCATAGATTTTGAGCCACACCCACTTTGCTTGCACAAGACCCTGGGTGTTGCGTCCGGGCTTGTGCTTCAAACACCTTATTTCTGATTTCAGCTGTTGGAGTTACTGTAAGGATTGCAGAAGATGACAACCCCCTGATTTTTTGAGCATATTTGAGAATTCCCTCCACAACGCGTTGTGACCCCATATTTATCAATCAGGGATGCTCAACTGACGAGTCGACAGGCTTCGTTCTTGGTGAGCATTTCTCGTAGGTTTTCGGGGCGCAGCCAGGGGAGTTGGTAAATATGCGGGTGTCTTAGGGTACCCCTTTTTTGTGGTTTTGAGGGAAAAGCAAGAGGAAAACCAGTTTTTCGTTTGGGGGGTTCCCCTACAAAAAGACACACACACACACCATATCATGATATTTTTGCCAGGTTTGGCCAGGATGTTCAGTGTTCCGTTCGGGACAGGAACGGGGAGACTCGCCGATTTGTCCAAACAAAAACCGATTTTCCCCTGTATGTATTTTGACCGTGTCTCTTCTTGAGCCCCGAGCCATATTTCTTTGCCTTTGCAGGCGACAGCAGCTCGTCCTCAGGGAAGGAGGGGCTTCTTGCGCCGCCAGAGGTGGCACTGGTTGAGTTTGGGGTCGGTGGAACTTTTGGTGCCCTTCTGGGACTGTTTCAACTGGAAACGACTGTGGGAGAAATGAACCTGTTCTTTTCCATTGCCAGAAATTTTAGCAATCCAGACTCAAGGGCTAGGTGCAATTCCGCGTATTCGCCATAGTTTTTTCCACAACATATCACAATACAAAACACTTCCAGGAATAAAACCCGCCGCCATGAGTTGATACGCGGGTGACGAGAGTCCGTCTCAAAGGCCTTGCCTGGGTGAGCCACCCTTGCACGGCTAGTTGAGCAGGTGTTGCCCGCAATCTGATGTGTACTTTCGGGCATGAACTTCCAGGGCTCAAGTTGCTCGTGAGGTCGTGAGGAACAAGCACGCTGGAAGGTCAACTTTTGTGTCCAGTCCAAGCTGCGTCGGGATTCCGCCCGAAAATGCGTCTCAGGTTCATGTGTTTGGCCATTTGCCACTTGGAATCTGTGACGTCCTGCGAGAATTCCCCAAGATGCCAGATCCTTAAGGCTACCCTTCGACGGAAAGCCTCGCTTCGCAGGACAAGCCAATGAACCCACTGGAAGAGCCAGCCAGCAGCCCAGTGTGCTTCAGGGGCCGTCAGTTGAAGAAAGACCCGGTCATTTGAACCTCCCAGCATGGTACCTGGGAGCAGTGAATGGTACAGCTGTATTTCATGTTTTTGGTGGGGCCCCTCTCCACTGGCCGCCTCAATACAGTTGTGCACTGGTAAGGCTGTGTTTTTGCTGCCCCTCCCCAGTAGCTGCTTCCCTCCAAGTGTGCGCCCTCGAGGATGCCAGCATTGATGATCTCATGAAGCTCATCGAAGAGGGTCCTGGGGTGGATTCTTCCAGGCCGGGAGCCACCCTTTTCTGGCGAAGTTTGAAGCATGAGAACAAGAAGGACACGTTGCGAACTTCCACTACAAGCTTGCTCGAAGCCCCCTGGCCTCAGTCGACAGAAGTAACGTTGTTTGGAGGGCCCTAGATTTAATATGGAGGTTGATCGCAAGGTCCTGTGGGGAAACCTTTTGCATGGATATGTCCCACATGTGAAACGTTCCCATGGTCGTTTGGGGGCGCGAAACGGAATGTTGATTCAACCCCCATGTCATTCAAACCAAAAAAGAACGCCAACAAAAACACCAAGAAAAAGCACAGAAAGTAAACATAAAACAAAGACACACAAAAAAAACACACACACAGACACACAAAAGAGAAAAACACAAAAAAAGCACCACATTTATCCGCTCAAAGTCAGCTTGGCAGGGAGCCGGGAGCCCAAGTCCCTCTGAGCTACCGGGGCCCGGCAACCTACAAATCCCCCAACGCGGCAACCCCCATGTGAGGCACGTGCTCAAAACCGATTCGGGTAGATGAAGGGAAGGGGAAGTCGCCAGAAAGAGCTGCGGATATGCGGCTTCTTAATTCTTTACATGGTTCGTGGAGCATTTGAATACCGGGTTTTGATTGTGACTCATGTGGCCATTTGTGGGCGTGGTGTCCAGGGGTGGGGTGGGTTTGGCCGAAGAGGCGTTATTTTGGGGGGGTCAACCCCCAAATAGCCACAAAGTGGGGTGGCGGGGTTTGGCTGGGGAAGCCCCCATGTGGAAAATTTGGTTGGTGGGGGTGCCCGGGGGATAGGTGTCCTTTTTAGATTAGTTTGACTAAACACATAATTAGATGGGTTCCGCTGGTTTAGCTGGGGTTTCTGCCCCATTTCGCAGGGAACCCCCCCCATTTTGTGGGTGGGATCAACCCCTGACCCGGGGGGTTTGGCCGGGGAGGATGGCTGTTGCCTTCGGCGCATCTCCGCAGGGACCAGGACGTTGAAGAGCTCCTGAAGTCTCTGCAGCCCAGAGAAGGCGCGAGCCGAGCGCCGGTCCGGAGTCCGGAGCTCCGGAGATGCCGATTTGGCCGTGGCCTGTCGAGGGGACCCCCCGTGCCATGGACACCTAGAGTCTATTTTGCAACCAGACCCTGAAAAAAACAAGACCCTAAAAGAAGGTTGCAAAATAGACCCTAAGTGTCCACCATACGGGACCAAAGCCCCCCCCCAAAAATGCCCAAATGCTGGGCTTCCTCTGGGTTTCCCTTGAAAACCGCCAGAAAAGCAAGGTTTCAACCCTACAAAATGGCAAGGGTGTCCTGCTGTCTTCCCTTCGCAACCACTCAAAAGGCTCTGATCCATGTCCGAAGGTCTGGATTGCTATGAGCCCTTCAAATGCGATGGACAACTCCCTAAACGATGTCCACCCAAATTTGTGTTTCAGTTAAGATTCATACCCAATTGTGCTTGGTGTTTCCCTTTTCAACTGCCCTCGTCAGGCTCGCTTCATGATTCCAACAGCTGTGGTTCAACAAATGTTCAACAATTGTCAAAACATGGTGTTTGTGTATTCAAGAAAACACTATTTATTTCGACAACTGTTCAACAATTGCCAGCACATTCCTGTTTTAACTAAACAACAAGTCAATGTACTTTTCAACAACTGCTCAACAGTTGTCAAAACAATCGTCGTTCTTGGACACACTTGTCACACGATTGTTCAACAACTGTTCGACACTTGTCAAATCAATCGTTGATTGCGGAAACAATTGTCAAACTAATGTTTAACAGCTTTCTCAACAATTGTCACAACTGTCAAACAGTCGCGCATGCTGGAAACAATTGCGACAATGTCCCGGCGCCCCCCAAAAAAATTGCCGGCGTTCTAAAACCACTGATTTCCAGACCTTTCGGCAACTTTTAGCGTGCCTATGGTCCCCTGCACGATCCCTGTGAGCAGGGCGAGCTTTGTGTACCCTGCGACCAAGGCAGAAGGCAGAAGGGAATCTCCCCCTTGAAAAAGGGGGGGGGTTAGTCTTTAGGAAACTCCTCTCTGTATCACAGATTCGTGGATTCCATTTCAACCACAAGCCCTGGAGGAGAGCCACGTTGCATTGTTTGCACGAGAATAGGAAGTACATATCTTGTGACTTGGAGTCCTGAACGTTTTGTGTTTTTTTTTCCCCACCTGAGGGAGAGAACGCAGGTGGATGGATTCGCCGTCCCTCTGCAATTTGGCTCCAGAGAGCATTAATTAGGCAGAACCATGGAAACCCAGCCGTCAAGCCCAGTCAGCCTTCGAATCCGGGAATTCCAGGCTGGAACTCAGTGGTTCAGTGGCTCCGATTCTTGTTCCCCCTTTTTTTTTGGGTGGCTGCCCCACTAAAATGGTCTTCCCAAAAAAGGGTTCCCTTTTTTTTCCAGGGTCACTGAACAACTGAGGGAATGAATGGTGTGACACGTGAGGTATTTTTTTGGTTTGGCACACGGCAGCGAGGGACACCTTTTTGGTTTGTCGCGACTGGCGTAAGCCGACCAGCCGTGAGTTGTCGTGCCACTGTTTTGAGCTGTCCCAAGCCAGCCTTGGGGTCGTCCGCAGCGGAGCGCTGGCGGGCACGGCTAAGCCATGCCGTTGCCAGCGATTCTTAGCAGCTGCGTGGAGACATGTCTGCACATAGACCCTTTGGCTGGCCTGTGACAACTTGCTGGTGCTCAGTAGGGAATGAGGGAATCAGCCCAGGGATTCCCTTAAAGGAAACCACAAGGGATGGTTTATAGGGTCATTCCCTCCTTCCCTGCCGAGCACGAGCAAGACAATGTTGTTCCTTCCAAAATCTACCCAACGCCTCTTCAGACTGACGTGATCCGTTGGAGAGGGGTTTCAGGAATCACGTTTGGAGCTATTTTCGGATGGCGTGCCATCGAACAGAATCCTATCGAGTGTTGTGAGACATGGCAAGCTGAATCAGTAGGCACAGTGCTGTCAAGTCTGCAGCCAGTCAAGTTGCAGCGGAAATGGCCAATCTGGTGCCGTTGTACACTTGGTAGCTGATTGGCTGCTTCTACCATCAAAATCCTTCCTGCTTTCTGGAAAGGAACGGCATGGAACAGCCCTTCGGGCTTCCTTGCCTTTAGGAACAGAAACATCGAGGAGCGAAGGGCACCCCTAGAACTGTAACAGATGACCGGATCATATTGACTAGCCGTCATGGATCATCACAGCTTGGGATGGGTGATCAATATTCCCTTCTGCCCCCAAATCACCATGGGTGGTTAACTTTACTTTTTCCAGTTAGTGGACAGAACATGTTTTTAGAGGTTTCCCCCAATGGTCATCCCATGTAACGAACTTTTGATCAACCCATGCGGACTCGTCATCTTGTGGTCTGCTTAGTATCTGGGGCTGCCAGGTGCAATTCTGCATTCGACTCGGCACTTCAAGCTGTTGATCGCAACTGGCTAGAACACCTCAACGTTGGAAATTTCGAATAACTTCCGCACAAGGAACTGGCCACAAGCAGTTGCAGCCTTGGTGCCAGCTGATTTGAGGTCCCCTACAAGCCACAAGCCGCGGTTTGGGGCTCCCCGCCCACTGTCCGCTCCATTTCTTGGCATGGTGCTGGCGAAAGTTCCAGCAACATGGACACCCATGTGAGCAAACATCTTTGACATTGAATGCGCCTGGCCAAACATTCGTCGACATGGGAAGCAAGCAGAGAGCACCGCACGAGGCTTGGAGTGAAGCTATAGAGCGCAAAATCATTCACCATCATCCTAACAAAGTCCTAGTCTTGCAAAACACTTGTGGGTGTAGAAGGCAATCTGCATGAAAGCCCTTTGTTCGCTATCAACTTGTGTGACCATGTAACCTGAAGGGACCATGGTTGACCAAGGACGCTATCAGCAATCGTCTGGAAGAGCTGGTGTTGCCTGGCAGTATTGGCAAATGCCGAACAAGCCACACCTCGGTGGTTTGTTTCATGCTGCTGACAAATCAAGATCGGACGTGAGCCAAGCCGTCAAGCTGCATGTGAGGTTGTGCTCTGGTTGTTCAAGGTCGGTCCCCGGCGGGCACAGTCAGTTAATCCTTGGTCGGTGCTTTGGATTGGTGGCTTGGATTTGGATTTGAACCGCTTGTTCTTGAGAGCAAATGGAGAACCGCCCCCAAACCCTCCAAACCACCAATCCAAGCCACCAACTAGGGCGAAGCTGGCAGATGGGCCAGATTCCAGGGAAGGAGTAAACAAAAGGACCGCGTTTAGAAGCAGCTTTGTGTGTAAGAAAGTACCAGCGGCCAGGAATTGCGCATGCAACGCAAGAATGGGGACCGGGCGACAAGCGACACGCAACACGATTACGACAACGATGTCATTGGGTCCTGAAACTTGGCTTCGAGTAGTATCTTTGTACTGAACATCAATTCGAGCTGGAGCTGCTCAAAGTGTGCAGTACTTCGCATGACTTGGTACTGCGAGATTGTAAATGTCTGAGCTCGAGCTACCAAAGCATTCTTCGAGCACTACACTTGTACCCAATCGTTGCTATTTTTGAGCTTGCGCCATACTACACTTGTCCTAATCAAAGAACAGGATATGCCAAATCCTTTCCCACGTTTGCAAAAACAAATGCGATGCTCGGGCGTGAGCCGGCCAACGTGTACTTCGCATATTAGACAAAACCGAGTTTGCGAAGCACGGTACAACCACGACAGGTTGAGAAAGACAACAACACATCCAAGGTTCAAAGAACAAATGGTGTGGTTATACAACCCAATGTGTGTTCATTGAGAATGCAGGGTAATTCATGTGATACTTTTTTTGTATCTAGCAACTCGCTGGTACCAAAACTTGGGCTTGGGACTACACGTCTAGCGGTGGTTTGATATTTGCAGAGTATTTGGGTGTGTCTCAAACTAGGGGAACCTCCAAAATGGTGGTTCTCCTTTTGGTTTCCCCAAAAAAAACAAAAAAACGGAGAGCCTTTTGGTTTCCCATAAAAAAGAAAAGAAAAGAAAGGACACCCGTTTGTGTGATTTGTTTTTGTTGGGGAGACTGTGACACTGTGAGGTGTCATTGCAAACAGCTGCATACACTCAACCAGTCGCTGGAGATGGAGAATGCATCCTTGCCACATGGCCAACTCGCGAATGGGGTGGCAGAGGTCGTTTTGGTCATTGCATGTGACCGAAGTCTATTGTGAGAGCGGGTGAGAGACGTAGCAGCTACGACGTAGCATATGCTCCAGGATTATGGGTAAGAGCGAAGTCTTCTCTTTCTAGAGAGCACCAGGCTGCATTGCCACAGCAAAACAGAGGCTTGTGATCTAGATACAACTCCTTCCAATCTTCAGCCGGCAAATGCGGGATCATCGTGTTCCGCTTCGTTCGACGAGTCAAGCCAGACGAAAGCACGCAGGATCGCAATGCGCGAGCTGCAGATGTTTGAGTTGCGCCAGGAGCAACCCCGCAGAAGCAGACTCACACATCAGGCTGCAGAAAACATGCAGCATTGGGGTAAACGGAAAAGAGTCTAATGTGTGACTCTCAGCAGAAGCCAAGAGGCAGAGTATCCTCAGTCAGACATTGTTATAGGAGTCGGCACATTTCTTGGCTTTTTGTGACTGCCATGTGAGTCCATGCAATGGCAATTGCTGGAAATTTGTACTCAGCTTGGCTTTGTCATGCGTATAATATGGTTTTTCCTTTCTAGTCTTAGGATGCTGGGAGTGTTTCGGTTGGCTGGGCATGTCTTGGGTCACGGATTTGCCAGCCCAGGCGTTTGAAGCTTGGCTCCATCGGGGAGAGACGCGAGGCGCCAGTGCAAGTTTAAGCAGTTTCTTCGATGTGGCTGTGGGCCAAAATGGGTTGCCCTGGCAAGTGGAAACATGGACCAACACCTGCGGTTTGCCCCTCCTGTTTAATTTTGAGCCACACCCATGTGGGCAAGATGAAGACACAGGTGGCTATACGCTGTGCATGCTTGGCTTGCATGTGTTTATCATCCCTAGTTGGGTTGGTTTGGTGGGCTCGAGACGTTATCAACATCAGAAGAACAAGCTCGCCTTGTTCTGGTGTGTCCGGACAACCATGTTGCATGAGCGACGAGACTGACAGTGAGTAAGCATGTGTTCAACCGCTAGGCAGCTTCTGCGCCTTTGCCACTGCCGCATGCTTTACTCTACCCTATGTATTTGTTCCATTTGTAAGAGGCGCGCAACACAACATGAGCCACAATCAAAACCTGGGTAGATGAAGGGTAGTAAGGGACAATCCCAACCATAAATAGCTGCGGCCGCCTTCTTAATTCTTTACATGGTTCTCAACCATTTTAATAACGGGATTTGATTGTGACTCACATGCCTGTCAGCCAGAGAGCTTGAACCCACGACACGGATGCCGAGGTCTATTTACGTCGGGGGGAACTGGACCAGTCCTTGTTGGGTGAGTTGCATTTTGCGAAGCTTTGCGCTGGCTTTTTGAAGTTAGCCCTGGTCGTGGCTCTCCCAAGCTTTGGCAAATGCCTTCCAACTGTCCAGTGCATCTGCACATATCTGGCCCATGTTGAGCAGTCAGAGCACAATGCATGACAGATGAAAAGATGATATGTTTCTTACATGGGTTTGGGTCAACATGAAACCACCAGGGGACCGCAGTTGTCAGTCCATGCTTTTATTTACCAGGGCTCCATTTTGGGGTTACGATATTTTTGACCCACAGCCACATGGGACACATGTTTTTCCAATCAGTCAGGGGGTCGACCGGTTTATTCATACTGGATGAAGTTAAACCAACCGGTTTATTCACATGGGGGTGTCCATTTCCGGTTTTTAAACAATAACCAGCGGCGCAGGTCTCCAACTGCGTGTCCACACCAGAGGTGGAGGCTGCCGAGCAGGCCCGGGGTGGGGTGAGCAGGTGCGGCGCGTTCCGAGTTCTCAGAGGTGGGGTGGTGGGGTGGGGTGGGTGGCGTGGTGGGGTGGTGGGTGGTGGGGTGAGGTGGGGGTGTTGGGATGTGGGGATGTGGGGATGTGGGGATGTGGGGATGTGGGGGTGTTGGGATGTGGGGATGTGGGGATGTGGGGTGGGAAGGTGTGCATGGCAACGTCGCAGTCGTTTTCAGGCGGATGGGGGAAGAGATGTGCATGTTGCAAAGTCACACGGTCGAGCGAGACAGGAGTACCAGTGCGGAAAATCCACAATCGCCAGGCGCAAAACCTCCCTCGGGTCAAGGACGTTTTTCTGGAGCCGGAAAGCCTGGCGCCCAAGAATTCGGAGTAAGACTGAACTCTGGCCTTTGGTCTGGAGTGGCAGTTTATTGCAAATTTTGACCGCAGATGAATATACCCCTGTTTTTTAGTATGGGGGGGTTCCAGGTTTCAGTGGGGATTTATCACTTTTGGAGGGGAACACCCCCATATAATTAAAGTGGGGTGTATTACCGGTCAACGTGAGTCGCCGGATGTTTGAAGCCGGGCAATTCCGATCAAATGGCCATGCAAGACACAAGCCACCTCACTCCAAGCAAGTGCCATGTAAGCACCAAAGCTGAACAGCTGAACCCCCATGCCAGGGCAGCAAGATCTTTTGCGATAGGTTTGCGGGCTCGGTTGGAAGACTCACAGACTGCCCCAAGGACCAGATGAAGTGATGCTGCCTGGGCCCCAAGGATCAGTGGACTGGTCCCTAGCTGCGATTGAATCACAGGCAACAGTAAACCGTGCATCAAAACCTCCACCCTTAACGATAGGTTTGGCGGGGAAAGCGGAAAACGCGTGCAGGATCATGAACTTACTGAATTTTCATGAACGCATGACTTTTGCTAACTAGCATTGCGCTTGCAAGCCACTATGGATTTTGATCGAGTCTTATTGCGAGGAGCTGCTTTTCCGGTGTCTTGCCGTCTTACCGGCTGTATGCAGCATCTCAGTTGGCAAAGTACAGGACCAGAGTTACTCGGTGTGGACCCAGGCATCCACTCTCTGCACTTAAACTATAGAACCTCTTGAGCTCATGCCCTGCAGAGTCTGCGCAGCCTTTGCTTGAGTCATAGTGCATTGTGGCTGCTGCATGTTGAATTCCATTCTCGCACAAGGCACTGACTAGTCCCAATTCGTCGTGTGACGTGCGTGGAGATTTCGGCTATGAAGACAAACATGGCGGGCGATTTCCGCATCTGTAGGCCTGGAAGGCTTCCACTTCCACCTCCAGCACGCCACCCCTGGATGCCGGATCCCGAAGGCCCCTAAGAGCGGTGGCTCGCTCTTAGCTTTGCAGGTTCTGCAGGCTGTATGTGTCATGGATGTGACATGGTTGTCGTTGGGAAACTTTTTTCCCATTTTTGCTGATTGTGGTTTAGTGGGAAATCCCCACTTAACTGCTAAAATTTACATTTTTGCTCCCCTTCCAACGTCAACCAAGGTGAGGCAGCTTTAGGCGCTGAACAACTTGCCAAAGATGCCTTGGAGACTCTACGCGCAAAAGAAGCATGTGGGGTCCCAGCATCGCCAGGAGCAACACCCTCCCATGCGCCCAGCCAAGCAGCCAACCAAGCGGCCAACCTAGAAACCCAGGCCAAAGTGATGGCAGCTGTCTGTAGACAGCAGAACAAGCATCAGCAACTGCACGAGAAACGGTGATGGCCAATTTAACAAGAGCGACAGCACAGCCAATTGACGACTTCAGCAGAGGCCAATCTCCATGTCTTCCTATGGCTGTGGCTCAAAAAATGGGATCCCCAGAACCAAAGACAAAAAGCTGCGGTTTGCCCTGGACCTTGAATGTTGAGCCACGTTTTCATATGTTTTCTTTTGCACCTCGTTGCACTTGGCATGGTTCAGGGAGCCCGGCGGACAGCGAGTTGCGGCTGCTCGGTGTACCATCACGAGTAGCCACTACCGAGCTGGAGGCTTGCCGGCCGATGCGCCGAGTCGCTGTTCGCGGAAGTGTCCTGGCATCCCAAAATGAAGCTATAACGATCGATGTGTTTGTTTTTGAGAGATGTTCAATTCATGGATACAATTGACACAGCCCCTTTCCAAGAGGAAAGCAGTCTTTCAAGAGGGGTCTGTGCACTTCCATGTTAGTCGGATCACAAGGTCCTTTACATTGGGGTGACCATGAGGGAAACCACCAAGATGACTTTCGCCACAGACGATCGCCGCAAAATCAAGGCAGAAAGGCTTCTTAGGTGTGGCTCGATGTGGCTCGCATGTGCCTACAAACAAAACACGATTCTCTGCCCTTCTGTATCCGCACAGCGCCACACAGCCACACATCCTGAGGTTCTGTTCAATGTGCTCAGGCTGTGTACAAGCAAAACATAAGGATGATGAAGCAATCAGGCGAGTGGTGAAGCCTGCGGCATTGAGGCAATCAATGAGCGTAGCGATGCATCCAGGTCTATCCTTCAATAGCTCCTTGTCAAAGAAGTAAATCCAGTTTGTTTTGGACATTAACGAATTCTGCAAGCGGGCAACGTGGACAGAGCGGAGCCCCACAACCACAAGAAGCCGCTTATTTGTTTGCAGAGTTGTCCGGGCATGACTCCACGATGCTGGCATGGATAGGCAAGTGGACGTTGAGACGAAGAAAGCTGACAAGGCTGTGGGTCAAAACCAATGGTACCGTCTTGGGTTAGGTGCACCAACCATTTTAGTCTATTTTAGTGGTTGGATTGGGATGTTCACTGGGGGTACGATTTGGATTTTGACCCATGGCCACAAAAACGCCTGCTAGCCTTTCTGTTTCCTGATCCAGCAAGCAGGGATGCGTAAGCGCAATGTGGCGGATGTTGAACTGTGTTTTCTTTACTTGATGTGCTCAAGGCACAAATTGCGTCACGCTGCGAGCTATTTACAAGAATTTGTTTTTACCACGACGACATGATGATGATGATGATGATGATGATGATGATGATGATGATGATGATGATGATGATGATGATGATGATGATGATGATGATGATGATGATGATGATGAGGAGGAGGAGGAGGAGGAGGACGACGACGACGACAATGATGATGATGATGATGATGATGATGATGATGATGATGATGATGATGATGATGATGATGGTGATGGTGATGGTGATGGTGATGGTGATGGTTGCATAAGCAAGGTGTGGAGTTTGCGTGCTCAAAGGGAAGCAGGCTGTCCCACGCTATGGAGCATCATCATCATGACGTGGGTTGCAATCATGGCTTGCATGTTTTCCTGACGAGGAGGAAGCGGAGGAGTCTGACGTGGAGTACTTAGATGCCAAGAGCATGCACTTTGATACGCTGGCCATCCCGAGCATGCTTGGTGTATACATCCCGGCCAGTGGTAGAACGACCGTTTGCTTGGCACATTGAAAGTGTAGCTCTACGCAACCAACACGTTGATTCTTGTTGTTGAGTTGCTTGCACGTGGCGAGGCAAGACTGAGCGGTCAATTTCACTAAAGCTTCAAGCGATGTCAGCAGAACATGGGCCAAGTTGTCAGTTGTCTTGCTCCGTCCCAAACCAACCTCTGGACTGCAATAAGGCAGAGCATCTCAGGGCTTCCAAATGCCAGGTCTCGCATCGGCTGCAGCTGATCACTGACACCAGGTTGGCGGATGATACTACATTCAACCGGGCGGAGTGGGAACAGACCTGGAACCTCATGAAACTTGCACCTCGTCACAGAAGCGAAGGGTTTGCCAGCGGCGGCTTGGCGAATGCCATTCAAGAACTATGGCACTCGGGCAAAGAGCAAGAGCATCTAAATGTCTTGTCAAGGAGTTTCTGTGGCCATGTGACCTGAATGACAGCTGAACTGATTGCTGCACTGCCTGTCCTAGCTTTCTCGTTCTGAAAGACTTGAAGTGTTTTCGTTGGAGGTTTGCAAGGAGGTGGATTCCGGAGAATTTCACAGCATTTCAGTTGCGCATGCCTTCGCAACATTTCGCAACTGCCTAGCATACAGAAGGTATTTTTGATTGTCATAAGAAAGCAACCAGAGCACTATTCTCTGCTCTAAGAGCCCAAAGACAAGCCATGATCCTGGGACTTGAGTTTCAAGTTCCAACGGGACCCTTCGCGCGCAGTGCTTTGGTGCGTTGCGCGGCGCAGCCCGGACGAGCCGGTCAGAAGTTTCAGGGGGAAAGGTGCCTATGAAGCACGGCACGCCCGCGTTCTGTCATCCCGCCCTTCCCTTTGTTCACTTTTTTTCTCTTGGGAAGAGACACACGTGGGCCGTGGTTCCTTCAAAACTAGGCCGCTCCCAAAGAAGGTTTCTCTTAGGTGCCTGGTGTCTTTCCCAAGTCGATTCCAAAAAAGATCGAAGACCGATTTTGCCCTTGCAAGCAGGCACCGCGTCCATCTAACAGGGAAATTGAAACTCGGAAATCGCCACGAGTTGTTCAACCCCCTTCCCCCCCCGAAAGTGCGCACCGCTGGGAGGCCTTTGCACCATGTGCAACTTGAAACCAGCTGAAGGTGCGCACAGGGTCCAATTTTCGAAGATCCGGCACAAGAACACCGCGAGCCGAAAGGGCGAAGAGGGCTCACCTGGCAACGTGAAGGTCGACCCGCCGCAAGTGCGCCAAGGGTTCACTTTTTGAAGCTCCGAAGCAGCGCGCGTTGCCATTCCAAGGTGTCCGCGTTGCCATTCCAAGGTGTCCGGCTCCGAGCAAACTCTGAGCAGAGCCCGAGCGCATGCGTTTTCGAGGTTACCCTCAGGACCACCGCAACTCACACAGTGCGCCTGCCACGAAATCTGCTCCGCGCGAAGATTTGGCTTTGAGGTCGACCAACCGAAAGTGCGCAGAGGCTTCCCCTTTTGAGCATCCGGCAATCCAACCAAAAGTGCGCAGAGGGCTCACTTGTTGAAAATCCGGCAACTCAAAATTGGTCTACCAGCCGAAAGTGCACAAAGGATTGATCTGCAATGTCATTGCGGTGCTTTGTCTTTGCTTGGCTATGCCTTTCTTTGCTACGTCTCTGCTCCGCCATTATGTCTTGGCTTTGTTATGTCTTTGCTTTGCTGCGTCTTTGCTTTGCCGTCTCTCTACTTGGCTGTGCCTTGGATATTTGTTTAGTTGGCAATGTCTTTGCTTGGCTATCTCTGTACTTTGTCATTTCTTGGCTCGTCTGGTTTGAGTGCGTCTGTAGCTCCCAAGTTTCTCATCAACACTTCCTTTGATTAGACTTGTAAGCCCGTTGCTTTTGACTTTCATAGGAGCAACACTTTCAGGGATTGACCGCCTTTCTACTCAGGAGTCAGATGAATACACGGGCGCAAAAGTCTTCCAGAGCTTCGTGAATACTTTATTCTTTAAGACGGACTCTCAGCTGCAACTACGGAACGCCTGTGCACTTCAATCTGCTTGGGGCTCGCAAGCCCGGAGACTCACGGAGTCCCTCCCCAGGATGCCAGGTGCTTGCAATCATTATGCCAATAATTATATCAGTTGATGTGGGAGAAGCATTTGACAAGACAAAGGGGCCAATTGAAGCAATCGTGTAGGCAAAACTTTGCATAAAGGGGAACACCTGACCCTGTCTCCAAAGCCGGCTTGCAATGTAAAAATAATCTGAGCGACAGTTGGGTTCTGTCAGCTGAGGTGAGCATGCTTGCCATCATGGCGAATGCTGTATACATCGGACTTCGCACCGACCAGTGCCTCGTAAGCTGAGCGCACTGCTAGATCGATGTCACCCCATCCATCCGCGTTAAGAGGCCCCGTAGACGAACGAAAGATGAGGCGACTCTTTCACTTGCGGACCATGATCATCTGAATTTCAGTTGTTAAAATAATGCCTGTTTCAAAGCTTGCAGGCCTTGGTTGACATGTGCTATGGTCAAAAGACCCCTTTACTTGGGGTTTAACAGAAATGGTCCTGCACCTGGTAGTAGGGATCCTCAATCTTGTTCAGGGCTCATTCAACTTACCCAGGCGCAAAATAGTCAACGAAGCCGTTTGCACTTGCAGTTTCTTCATTCGGCGAGTGGAAATTCTAGCTCAAGCAGTTTGTGACTATAGTTTGCCACTCTGGACTTTGCATGGAAGCTCAGCTGATCACCATGCCTTGCTTATACTGCAGACACTTTCAAAAGCACGCCTGAGATTTCCATGACCCAGTTGCCCATCCGTTTTTCCTTTTTTTGGGGCAGGGTTCCCCTTTAAAGTCAACCAACCAGAACAGGATGCCCTTTCCCATGGAAATCCACTGGGCTGAGATGACCACGTTTTTGTTTGGAATCTTTGGGCCTGGCAAGGCGCTGGCCTTGCAGGCGAGCGCTTCAGTGAATCACATACCAGACAGCAGAGTGTTTGGCCATGGACTAGACCGCGTAACTTCAAAATGGCGCGGAAACGTGTGGCATTGAAATGGCCAAATGTTGTATTCACAAGCCCATTGAACACATTCATTGCCGACAGGTATGACCAGTGGCTGGAAGCACCAGAGCTTTGAGTGGATCAGAGTGCCCCAATAGTATATGTTGTGCGAAGTGGTTAGTGCAGGCCTTCCTTTGCTGTTACATCAGACGCACATGTCCAGCACTTTAACGTCTGCCTTCGGAGAATTTGCCAATGTCCAAGCCGTCATCAACTGAATCAAGACTTGTTCCCTACACCTGGCCACTTGCCACGAGATCTGGCCATGGGTCAAAACCAATGGTACCGTTTTGGGGGTAGGTGCACGACCCATTTGAGTGAATTTTGGTTGGGATTGGGATGTTCAGGGGGGGTACGAGTTGGGTTTTGACCCACATCTTTGAATTTGCGGGGCTGCCGATTGCCGCTTTCTTGGCTTTGGCTCAGGCAGATCAAGAATAGCTTCTCCAGGGTACAAGGCCAGACGCCCGCGGATATGGAGAACTTGTTAGACCCTCAGCTGAAGCTTTGGAGGGTGGCTGGCAGACTCAAGCAGCTTTGGCGGACAGCTTGGTCTCCAACAGGCACTTCCATTTGGTCAAGAACATTTTATTATTTTCCCCTGTTGGTGTTAAAGGGAATCTAGCACTACTGGACATATTTTTATTTTTTCCGGGGGGCTTAAGCAAATGGAAGGGCAAGGCATCAGGCTAGGCCTGGACCGTGCTGTGCCTAGAATCCTGTGTGCCGCACTGCAACGGAACGGCTGACCGCCTGAGTTGTTTTGTGCCACGAACCAAGGAGTGGGTCTTCCTGGTGTGGTTCTCCGTTGAGATATTGCTGAACTTGATTGCTTTTCGCACCAACTTCTTCATAGGCGGGGCAGGGAACTTGCTGGAAGCGTGGATGCCAACCAGCAGATTCTCAAATGCCATCATACTGGAGGACTGCATTGGCAAAACTGTGATATATGTATATATTGAATATATATATATATACATACATGGGAGGGTTGATGAAAAGGGTTCGAAATACATTGGATGACCGTTGGCAAAACCGCTAAAAAACAACTTTCACCACTTTATGGGAAAAGTTACCCATGCCATTTGGGGGCCAGGAATATTGATCAACTCCTATATGTTCGGAACAAAAGGCCGTTCCGCATGTGACATACTTGCAACAGCGTTGCCCCTGCTAGGGTGCCTTGCCCAGTTTCATGTCAAGCTGTGATTGCCCAGAGCTGCATGGGAGGTTTGGGAGCAGGAGGTTTCCCCTGACTAGACCGCGCAGGCAAAAACTGGCACTGGAACATATTCGACCTCTTCTTGGTGGGGAACGCTGCAGTTGAGGTCATGGTTCCTGCCGCTCGCCAAAACTTGTTGCGCTGGTTCCCAGCAACAGCTAGCGGACTGCATCGGACTGCTTCATGTCGACGAGTGGTGGTGTTTGTTTTTCACGAAAGCTAGCTTTAGCTAGCTGAAGTTTCTCCTTGCGTAAGCAAGGTAAGGGGCTCAACTGCCGAAAGATTGATTTTTTCAATTATTTGAGCCGAAAAGATTGAAAAAAATCAATTATTTAGACCCCCCCCCTCCCCCCCCCCCTTGTCTCAGGCTCGATTCCTCCTTGGTCCACCCCTGGCTCAGTGTTTCAGCAGTCTCGGTTTGCCCGTTTTGGACTTGGTGCTACGAACTTTTACATGTTCCACCGATTCAGCTTGTTCATTTGAGACCTCAGTCTTCTCAGTAAACCACCTCGCAAGAATCTTTGCACACGCAGCATGCAGAACCCAGAGGTGCTTTAAGACAGCTTCTGACGCCTCTCGGTTTTCATTTTTCAAGGTTTGCCACGCCACCATGTGCGTTTGCGTGTCGCATCCTACGAATCTTGCCGGGCCTCTCGTTGTACACAAGCTACCTATGAATCCACTCTGTCACCGACCCATCTCATGCAGCAACTGCTAGCTTTCGTTCACCCGCTCCTCAAGTAGGATACCCCTTTTTTGTGGTTTAAAGGGAAACTAAAAGGAACACCACCAGTTTGGGAGTCCCTGTTTTAAGGCACATGAGCGTACGCGCTGTTATGACTCACGAATGGTGGTGTTACAGCTTGAATGCAGACCTCTTCACCAACTTGTGGCTTTGAGCATGTTTCCAAAGAAAGCGTTGAGGGGGTTTTGCTGGCGTGGTGTACTCAGGGTCTCCCCAGGATTCCGCTCTGCCGTGATTAGAATCAACGAGCCCTGGGGTTTTGCTAGGTGGGCGGGTGGGCTTGGACAGCCCTTCCAGCTTAAATAGAAGGGCACTTGAGCTTGTGGGCATCAGTTCAAGCACATAAATGTGCGCGCGCACAGAGACCGACACACACACACACACACAAGCAAGCAAGCAAGCAAGCAAGCAAGCAAGCAAGCAAGCAAGCAAGCAAGCAAGCAAGCAAGAAGCAAACACACGCGCCCACACACACACGCGCGCACGCGCAAGCGCATGCGCACGCGCACGCGCACGCGCGCGTGTGCGCGCACGCGCACCCCCCCCCCCACACACCCACCCACACACACACACACACACACACACACACACACACACACGCACCCACCCACCCACCCACCCCCACCCCCACCCACCCACCCACCCACCCACCCACCCACCCACCCACCCACCCACCCCCACCCACCCACCCACCCACCCACCCACCACACCCACCCACCCACCCACCCACCCACCCCCACCCACCCACCCACCCACCCACCCACCCACCCACCCACCCACCCACCCACCCACCCACCCACCCACCCACACACCCACACACACACACCCACACACACACACCCACACGCACACCCACACACACACACACCCACACACACACACACACACACACACACACACCCACACACGCCAACACGCCGACACACACGCCGACACGCCGACACGCCGACACGCCGACACGCCGACACGCCGACACGCCGACCCGCCGACACGCCGACCCGCGACGACCCGCCGACCCGCCGACCCGCCGACCCGCCGACCCGCTGACCCGCCGACCGCCGACACCCGCCGACCCCGACACGCCGACACGCCGACACGCGACACGCCGACACGCCGACACGCCGACACGCCGACACGTCGACACGCCGACACGCCGACACGCCGACGCGCCGACGCGCCGACACGCCGACACGCCGACACGCCCACACGCCAACACGCCCACACGCCAACACGCCAACGCGCCAACGCGCCAACGCGCCAACGCGCCAACGCGCCAACGCGCCAACGCGCCAACGCGCCAACACGCCAGCACGCCAACACGCCAACATACTCGCACACCAATACACGCCCACAGACACACGCTAACACGCACACCAGCACAACCACACACACACACACTCACACACGCACACCAACAGGCACACACACACACATACTGGAATAAAGAAGCAGGCCAGGTGGCATGGGGAAGGCTGCCAGAGGCAAGTCTAAGTGATGGAGGGTGTTCCCCTCAGGCTAACCAGGCAACCAATCCGACAATTTTCAGTGGGCGCCTGTTTGCTCTCTCAGTCCCTCTTTGCCAACATGTCCTTCCTCCGCATCTGCCGGGTCTTCAGACTAATCCGAGTGGTGCGCCGGGAGCTTAGAGACGGTTTTGCAACCTCCAGACTCCAATGCGGCAGAGTGTAGAAGCTCTGGCGAATGTCGAATAGGCGGTTTCGCTGGTTGCGGAGGGGAGGGGGGAAGGCGGGAAGGCGGGGGAGAAAGAGAGAGCCAGTGCATGCCAGTGCTATTATATGGGTATGGGTCAAAATTAAGCCACCAGGGGACCACAGGTTTTGGTCCATGTTTCCACTTGCCAGGGTTCCATTTGGGGTACCTATTTTTGACCCACCCAGATATATATATATATATATATATATAGATGGATAGACAATATATATGTATTCATGTTGCGGTTTGGGAAGAGAGACAGAGAAACAGAGGGAGAGAGCGACACCGAACCAGGCCTGGTGCGGACGGTGAAGTGGCTGCGAAGCCTTCGAACCATGCTGTTCGCCATCATCAAGTCCATCTCTTGCCTGCTTTGGGCCGCCTGGAAGGTATGCCACGTGCCACCAGGCCCACCCCACATTGTGTCACATGGAAGGCCTAGGTGTGAAGATGAGCAGTCGGACGGACACATCCCACTTTGCCAGGGCATACATTTGCTTTGCAGCAGGCACTTTCTGTGGCATTCTTTGGCCATGGCATCTGAGGCGTTTGTGATGATTATATTGGTGATGTCAGCCTGACTTGCTTGCACTTTTGCGCGCCGCAGGAACCAACACTTTGGGGAGAATAATTCCCAACCCACTGGAGACAAGCGGATGGTGCTTGGATACTTTTTTTTATGGGATCTTTCCGAAAACACACTTTTCTGACCAAGGTTCGTTTCCACTCTTTTCAGAGCCATGCCTCGCAGCACCTCACTCAACTTGCCTCATTGTCCCCTACATCCTGTGGTTGTCAAAGGACAAAGATCCTCTTTGGGGCGCCGCCCATGGGATGACCATGTGACCAGGTGCAATGGTTTAGCCTTCACCCTGTGACTTTCAGTCTTCAGCCTGTGTCAGCATAAAATTGTGTGGCAGGTTCGTGTTCAGCATAATTTTTGGCAATGCTGCTGCCTCGTACTTTGAAACGCTGGATTTGAACGACCCCACGGAAGTGGAGAATGCCGGGAAGCTCAGCCCGCGAACCAACTCGGTGTCAGGAATGCAGCTACATCCTGAGTTTGAAGACAAACCGTGCGCGTTGACTGAGGTGCTGTTTGGACATGTTTCGACTGTCTGGGACTGGTTAGGCACGTTTGGACTGTCTGTCTGGGGCTCGGACTGTGAAGGCTGCTTGGGATTTTTTGGCCAGGTTGGAACTGATGCGGACAGTTCGGGATATTGGAGGACTGTTTTTGACTGCGGACTGAGTTGCCGCTTCTAAGAGGGGGCGGGAAGCTAGGTTGAGCTTGATGCTTGCACACTGCTTGTTGCATGGGCCGAGCACTTAGGAAGACCTTGGGTTGTGCAGGAATGCTGCTGTGCGGATGCTAGACTGATCGCTGCATGATTCCGAATGCGTGCCAGAAAAATCGCCGAATGATGAGCAGTAGATATCCAACACCCTTTTTCTGATCAGTCTTGAAGAGATCTGGACTGCATTTCTCATCGCTCTGATGCATGGAAGAACGAGCTACCTGCATGGCCAAAGATCCGGCTTTGCGGAAGATGGGTCCGGTGATGATGTCACAAAACTAATTAGATGTCAGAGGGATGCGGCTACATCCTGAGTGTGAAGACAAACCATGCGCGTCGACTGAGGACTTGAGCGGACTGGCTGGGACTGGGGCCAAGCATTTGGGAAGAACTTGGGTTGTTCTGGAATGTTGTTGTGTGCATGCTGGATTGATCGCTGCATGAATCCGAGCGCGTGCAACGCCTGAAAGATGGCCGAATGATGAGCATTAGATATCCAACACCCTTTTTCTGATCAGTCTTGAAGAGATTTGGACTGCATCCCTCATCGCTCTGACGCATGGAAGAACGAGCTATCCCACACGGCCAAAGGTCCCGTTTTGTGGAAGATGGGTCCGGTGATGATGTCACAAAACTAATTAGATGTCAGAGGGATGCGGCTACATCCTGAGTGTGAAGACAAACCATGCGCGTCGACTGAGGACTTGAGCGGTGCTGTTTGGAAATGTTTGGACTGGCTGGGACTGGTTGGAACTGGCGCATTTGGTTGGGACTGATTGGGAGTGTTTGCAAGAGTCGAGAACTGGTTTGGACTGGGGACTCGGGACTGAGTTGCCACGGCCAAAAGGGACCGGTGAACTAACTTGCCCATTGCTTGTTGCAGGGGCCAAGCATTTGGGAAGAACTTGGGTGCAGGAATGTTGTTGTGTGCATGCTAGATTGATCGCTGCATGATTCCGAACGCGTGCAACGCCTGAAAGATGGCCGAATGATGAGCAGTAGATATCCAACACCCTTTTTCTGATCAGTCTTGAAGAGATCTGGACTGCATCCCTCATCGCTCTGACGCATGGAAGAGCGAGCTATCGGACACGGCCAAAGGTCCCGTTTTGTGGAAGATGGGTGCGGTGATGATGTCACAAAACTAATTAGATGTCAGAGGGATGCGGCTACATCCTGAGTGTGCAGACAAACCATGCGCGTCGACTGAGGACTTGAGCGGTGCTGTTTGGACAGGTGACTAGCTCGGGCTGGTTGGAACTGGTACGGCTGGGACTGATTGGGAGTGTGTGGGCTAGGCGAGGATTGCTTGTCACTGGGGACTGAGTAGGGGCCGGAAAACTAGCTTGAGCTTGCTCCTTGCTCCTGGCGTGTTGCAGGGGCCAAGCGTTTGGAAAGACCTTGGGTTGCGCAGGAATGTTGTTGTGCACATGCTAGATCGATCGCTGCATGATTCCGAACGTGGCTGAAGGAGCCTGAATGATGAGCAGTAGATATCCAACACCCTATTTCTGATCAGTCTTGAAGAGATCTGGACTGCATCCCTCATCGCTCTGACACATGGAAGACCGAGCTACCGGACATGGCCAAAGGTCCGGCTTTGCGGAAGATGGGTCCGGTGATGATGTCACAAAGCTAATTAGATGTGAGAGGGGAAATGCCATGTCTAGTCTCTTTCCTTACCCTTCTTTCATTTCAGGCATTACACCGTCACAACGACCAAAAGGGAGCGACAGAGGTAAAAAAGGACAGATATTTTTCGGATGTAGAGGTAGGAGAGGGTTTTTGAGGAACCGAGAGGAAGTGAATGATGTTTTTTTTTTCGCCTCCCTTCGTCTCACTTCCTTTCTCTTCACTGTCCCGCCTCTCTGGTCACGGGGAGATAGGAAGAATTTTCTCACAAGCGAAGGAAGGAGCTGGGGAAGCGAGAGGGAAGCGGAGAACCAACTCGCCACTTCCTCCCTTCCTAGTGCTTTCCCTTCCATCTTTCTCACATCCCTAACAACTCTCAGAAGTAATGGGAGGTGGAAGGAGGTGGGTGAATCTCTATCCCATGACCACCTCTCTCGCATCTATCTACCTCATATCTTCACTTCCTAATTGTCCCATTTCCCAGAATTATTTGACGAGAAAGGGTTAGGAAGAACGAGATGGCTCCATTCCTTCACTACCATCTCACTACTATTACCCACACTCTCGTCTATCAATCATGGAGAGTGGAGATGATAGGAAATAACTGGCCTGTCTCTTTACTGGCCTCCTCACCCATCATGTGTTCCAGATTCCTGAGGTGAAGATATAGCGAGTAAATGAGAGACAGATAATAAATGATAAAAATCTAACAATTATTCAAGCCTTTCCATAAAGACACTTTTCTATTCTGTTTACTCCTTCTTTAGAATTCTTTTATTTTGGAAATCATTGCATTTAGAAGGTTCATCAGATTCATTGTGGTTTCCTATTAATATGTCTATCTTATTAATCTTTGTAGCCGCATCTTATATTCTGATGAAATTGTGTCATTAATAAAAGCATTAGAGATATAGTAGTATTGGATAAAAGAAGTGTATTAGCAACAGTTAATTCACAAGGATTTGGAACATACAAAGCTTCTCCTGGCCACGCTCCTAATGTTGGAGAAGATAATAAATGACAAGATGTCCAAAAGAAGGATACAAATAATAGCGCTTCAGAAACTAGAGAAAACTTCCAAAAAGAAGACACCAGATTATTAATAAGGCTTCATATTGTTTAGTTAATTATCTTAATAAATCTCTAAGACCAAATATGGAAACATAAATAACTAATAAATTAAACTAAAAAATGTAAGAACATATGTCTATGATAAGTGAGTTCCAGTCCAACAATAAATATTAAATCCTGTAAAGATTTATAGAGTTATATTATTTACATCCTGAGTGTGAAGACACACCATGCACGTCGACTGAGGACTTGAGCGGTGCTGTTTGGACAGGTGACTAGCAGGGGGTGGTTGCAACTGGTGCGGCTAGGCGAGGATTGCTTGCACTGGGGACTGAGTAGGGGCCGGTAAACTAGATTGAGCTTGATCCTTGCACACTGCTTCTTGCAGGGGACAAGCATTTGGAAAGAACTTGGGTGCAGGAATGTTGTTGTGTGCATGCTAGATAGATCGCTGCATGATTCCGAACGCGTGCAACGCCTCAAAGATGGCTGAATGATGAGCAGTACATATCCAACACCCTTTTTCTGATCAGTTTTGAAGAGATCTGGACTGCATCCCTCATCGCTCTTACGCATGGAAGAACGAGCTACCGGACATGGCCAAAGATCCTGCTTTGCGGAAGATGGGTCCGGTGATGATGTCACACAACTAATTAGATGTCAGAGGGATGCGGCTACATCCTGAGTGTGAAGACAAACCATGCGCGTCGACTGAGGACTTGATCGGTGCTGTTTGGACATGTTTGGACTGGCTGGGACTGGGGCCAAGCATTTGGGAAGAACTTGGGTTGTTCTCTGCATGATTGTGAAGACGTGTCTGAAGGAGCGCTGAATGATGAGCAGTAGATATCCAACACCCTTTTTCTGATCAGTCTTGAAGAGATCTGGACTGCATCCCTCATCGCTCTGACGCATGGAAGAACGAGCTACGGGACACGTCCAAAGGTCCCGTTTTGTGGAAGATGGGTCCGGTGATGATGTCACAAAACTAATTAGATGTCAGAGGGATGCGGCTACATCCTGAGTGTGAAGACAAACCATGCGCGTCGACTGAGGACTTGATTATTGCTGTGTGGACATGTTTAGACTGGATCTGACTGATTGAAACTGTTACGGCTGGGCGTGATTCATTGGGAGTGCTGGGGAAAGTCGAGAACAACTTTGGACTGGGGACTGAAAACTGAGTTACCACGGCCAAAAGGAAAAGGGGCCGGTAAACTAGCTTGAGCTTGAATCTTGCCCATTTGCAGGGGCCAATCATTTGGGAAGAACTTGGGTTGTGCCGACAGTGCCGACATGTTGTTGTGTGCATTCTAGATTCATCGTGGCTGAAAGATGGCTGAATGATGAGCAGTAGATATCCAACACCCTTTTTCTGATCAGTTTTGAAGAGATCTGGACTGCATCCCTCATCGCTCTGACGCATGGAAGAACGAGCTACCGGACATGGCCAAAGGTCCTGCTTTGCGGAAGATGGGCCCGGTGATGATGTCACAAAACTAATTGGATGTCAGAGGGATGCAGCTACATCCTGAGTGTGAAGACAAACCATGCGCGTCGACTGAGGACTTGATCGGTGCTGTTTGGACTTGTTTAGACTGGCTCTGACTGATTGGAGCTGTTACGGCTGGGCGTGATTCATTGGGAGTGTTTGGGAAAGTCGAGAACAGCTTTGGACTGGGGACTGAAAACTGAGTTACCACGGCCAAAAGGAAAAGGGGCCGGTAAACTAGCTTGAGCTTGAATCTTGCTTATTGCTTGTTGCAGGGGCCAATCATTTGGGAAGAACTTGGGTTGTGCCGACATGTCGTTGTGTGCATTCTAGATTGATCGTGGCTGAAAGATGGCTGAATGATGAGCAGTAGATATCCAACACCCTTTTTCTGATCAGTCTTGAAGAGATCTGGACTGCCTCCCTCATCGCTCTGACGCATGGAAGAACGAGCTACCGGACATGGCCAAAGATCCTGCTTTGCGGAAGATGGGTCCGGTGATGATGTCACA